TATGTCGGGATCCCTGGGACCGCTCGTCAAGTAACCGAAAGAGGTCGAAGATGCATCACTTGCAGGCCATCTGGTAGAGGAACTGGATGATGGACCGCGTGGGACGTCCCGTCATGCAGTCCTTGAGCAAATACGGAGGCACTCCGTGCTGGGCCAGCATTCCGGTGCCGTGGGTGTCCAGGTGGACCCAGTCGGAGCAGGGCACCAGTTCGAACAGAATGGCAGCCGCCAGGCAGGATGTGGCATGCCCCTTGCCCCGGTTGCAGATGTCGTAGGCGGAGAGTGGGGCGACTAGGTTGCGGAAATACCTCCACAGGGGCATGCGCCACAGTCGATCGCCGGTGAGAGCTCCGGCCTTCTGGAAATTCTTCCACAGGAAGGAGTTGTTGGTCCACAGGCCGGTGGCCGAGGCACCCAGACCTTTGCGAATGCCGCTGGCCATCGAGCCCACCTCCACCACCAGTTTGGGCTTGAATGTGGACTGGGCGTAGAGCAGGGGATCGGCCAGAAGGACGGTTCCGGCCAGGGACATGTCCTTGATGCGCATGGTCTTGCCATTGAGCAGGGTGACCACATCGCCCGGCTTGGTGGCCATTCCCGAGGGCATGTTCTCGCAAAGGGGCAGCACAGCCGATACATTGATGGGCAGCGAAAGGGCAGCGGCGGCTCGAATGGCAGCCACACAGACTGCGGCCCCGGACACGGCGCCCCGGTACTCGTCCATGCCCTTCTTGGGGTGCAGGCACAGGCCGCCGCTGTTGAAGGTCAGACCCTTGCCCAGCATCAGGATGGGCCGCTCCTCCGGCGAAGTGCCGCAATAGCTGACCTCCAGGATAATGGGCGGCTCGCACGAGCCCTTCGCCACCATGAGAAAGGAGTTGAGGTTCTGCGCCTCGATCCAGTCCATCGAGCGCACCTCCACAGAGACGCCACACGGGCACAGGGCATCCACGGTGGCCTGGGCAAAAATGGATGGGGTCATCTGGTTGGCCGGCGTGTCGGCCAGGCGGCGGGCCAGATTCTGGGACTCGGCCTTGAACAGGCCCCTGGTCCACGCATCCTGATCGGTGGAGCCATAAAGCTCCAGTTTCGGTATAGCCACACGGTTCTTCTTGCGCTTGTTCACATTGTACCGCCACACGGCCATGGCAGCTCCTTCGGCGGCCTGCTCCGGATACTCCATGCCGTCCACATGGCATGTGGTGCAGCCCTGTATCTGGAGGGCTCGGGCGCCCACGGCGGCACACACGCGCACGTTCTCCATGCCCTCGTCGAGGACCTCCTCGGCATTGAAGCCGGCCCCCTCTTTGCCCAGGCCAACCACCGCCACGGCCCAGAACTCCTTGTCCACATTCTGATACAGCCGGCCCACTCCCAGCTCCCCGTTCAGTCCCGACTCCTTGATCAACTCGGTGATCTTGCCGCTCACACGATCGTCGAACTTCTCGCCGCCGGGCGACAGTTTCAGTCCCTTATCACCGTCCTTGGCATACAGACCGATCACCACGCCCTGCAGGTTGCAGGTGTTGCAGCCGCCATCCTCGCTCTTGCACCTCACCTGAATTTTGAAAACATTGGGGCTTATAAATAAATTTAAATTTTAAATTCATTCCTACCTACATTGGCTTTGTAAGCATTTCCTATTTATAATGCCTTTAAACTAAGATTTTTAATTATATTCATTACATAAAATATGTAATTAAAAAATTTTAACAATGCTTTAAGAACTAAGAGAAGTAGATTGTTTGTTGTATTATATTTAAAAAATTTAACAATGCTTTATAAAATTACTTCAAAGACTAGATTTTCTGGATATCAATGTCAAATTGTTTGGCAAAATTACCTGTTGAAAGCTTGGTCCTTTGGCGAATATAGTTGTCTTCTGGCACCTGAATAATCCCAGTGTGGTTCGGCGCAGACAGGAGGCCACTTGCGATCGAGTCATTTTCAGTTGCAATTTGGATAAACTTCGCTGAAGATTTGCACGAATTACAGAGAGTGTTGGGCAGTACTATACAACAATTTAGTATCGCGACCGAGTGGGGGGAAGCTAACCAGAACAACTGCTAAACACTGGAATAATGAAAAAAAAAAAATTAAAAAATCGAGTTTTTTAATAAAAAAAAGTGAACGCAGTGTAGGCTCCGTTGAACTGGAATCGAGAAACTGAACTGACCAGAACAACTGCCCCCATGACATATTGTCGATTTCGACCCACAGTTTACTAGGATCACAAAAATATTAGCTTGCATCACCGATCTACGGCACTCGACCAAACGTGATAATACTATTGAGTTGTTGTCAAAGGAATTTATTTAACCATAACACCCGCGAACAACCTGGCCGCACTTGAAACTTTATGTGATGATTAAATTTGCAATTATCTGCAACAACAGTGGCCGCGATGGCAAGTGCATTTCTGCATGCGACATAATGAAAAAGCGAATTTCCGGAGTGGGATAAATATATAAAAATTGCAACCAAGCCGCAGACGAAACACGTAAAAGCAATAAAGCAATAAATTGCCCAATTTGAAGCACTATTGTAGCCAATAATTTGCACAGCCACTTGGCCGGTTTCTGGTGCAGAAATCCTTTTGCCAACCAGCCCAGTTCAGCCCAGTCCATCCCCATCATGCCACCAAAAAGCCAACCATCCTCCATCCTCCCACCCACTGCATATAATTTTCAACAAAAATATTCACATTTGTCAATGTCGCGTGATTGATGTGGTCGAACGCATTTCCGCCGAGCTGAGCGGGCCAACCAACGTGCTGATGGGGCCAAATAAAAAACAGTCAACCCACAGTCACAGATGAAGAAATACACTCTGGAAAAAAATCACTAATTATTAGGGTTTTGAAATAGAGTGGAACTTTAATAGCTTGCATTTCCCTAACTTGAAGTCTTTATAAGAAGAGAATGGAGGTCATAAAGAGTATATATATAATCGATTCATCATTTCCCACCCAATAAAGTTCAAGTTGTGGTGGCAACGAGCTATAAAAAACTATAATCTACATATATTTACAGCTTTAAACAACAGTCAAACTTCTGAACCTCCCCAACTCAAAGTCTCTATAAGAGAAATTTTTTTTTAAGTATCTTTTTTATCCCCAACTCGAAGTCTCTAAAGATAATGGCTTGAGTTACAAAATGTTGAACGTATTTTAATATTTATCTCAGTTAATACCACATTATCAAATTCTAAATTCCTAGATTCAATATACATACTGAAATTGAAATAGTAGTTTATAGAAAATTATAAAGAATTTGCGTTTGTAGCAATATTCCTGTTTGACCTCGATTGTCAAAGAGATTCGTATTTGCTATACATTTTAAATCTACATGAAATTTTAATCATTATTGCAGTAACTTTCATGATTTTATTTTTATTAAGCCGGTAATTAAATAACCATTTTTTTTTTGTTCAGTGCCCGAACATGAACACACACACATGGAAACACAGGCAAGTAGGCGGTGCATAAAAATAAGCAAAAACATTCATTTTTTGTATACAAATGAGTGTGCAAGAAGGATGTTGAGGCCAGGGACATGGACATTGCCATGGTAATATGTAGCCATGGCGGTGAATGCGAATGTGAATGTGAATGTGAATGTGAATCTGGAACTGGGGATGTGGGTCTGGGTCTGGGTCTGGGTCTGGGCGTGTTGGCGACATTACGCGATTTCACGCATGATTTCAAATTAATGACAGCCGAGCACACAGAGCGAGCACCTTTAAGCCCAGACACTGGGGTAGTGGAATTTAAAATGTCCACCCGCACAGGATGTTTAATTTCCTAAATGCATAAATCTCACTAATACGCACAACAAACGCCAAATCTAAATCTAATGCGGTTAACGCTTTTTTGTGCGGGGTGCGTGCAGCATCCGAAAATCATAAACAAACTTCAAAGAGGACAATGGCCAAAAAAGGCAGGACGAAAAGCGTTTTGCAGCTTATTACGCACGGTAGCCAGTAAACTGGATAACCTGGCAGTCGAGGACTTCCCGGCAACCGCAACAATTCAGAGGTCCTGAATCTGATGGCTCTGTGGGTGGTGCGATGGGTTACGGACTACGAACGGAGGCCTAGTTGGCTCGTTTCGGAACCCCACCCACCAGCACACACGTAACGCGTTCGTTTCCATTTCCGTTTTTTGTCCCCAACAACACCAAATGCCCCACATAGCACATCTAACTTGGCTGGCTCTTTGGCAAAATGGCTGGGCGACGGAAGATCCCTTCACAATCGCACCCACACCTTCTGCTCGGCTATTTGTTTGCTTTTGCCACCGAATATTGCCAATTGTTGCAACATTGATGCAAATTTATTGCCTGCCGTCTGCCTTTTGTGCGGTTTTTCAGATTAAAAGAGATCCCATAACTGATTTGAGGCTTAAACATTCATTCAGAGTATGAATTGAGTTTGGCATACATTTTTTACAAAGCTCATGGTTAAATAATATAACTATTAGCTTGGAATAGGTAAATTTTATTTATTTTTATAAATTAAATGTTGTCTTTGTGTCTCTTTTAACATAATACTGATTTCTTGGTTTTTAAATCTTGGGTTTCGTATATTGTACCATTTTTTTTAGCTAAAGTTAGCAATTGAAACAATATGAATTAAATAGTATTTTTTTTTTTTTTTTAATATGACAAATAACAAACACCTTACCATCATTAGGATTCGATTCAATTCAGCATCCCTGCTACCTGTTATTTGATTTTGGATTTGCGTCCAGTAATGGGACGATCCTTGAAAATGTTGGTTTCAAAAATCAAAATAGCAAGTAGGCCTGTGCATGTACTTCATCATCAAGCTCTGAAACAGAAATGACCACCGCTTATCGGTTTTTGCAAAGTTATTCGCTTCATACTTATCAGCTCAAGTGACCCCAACCATTAAATGATTCGTTATCAATTTGAGCAAACCAAATTCTTGGAATAATAATGAATATTAAAACATATAAAGAAAACATGTAAATATATATGTATATTATTTGTTTGTATGCCATATTTCTTATTAAAAACTCTTATTCGTAACAATGGTGTGATTAATCCAATTCGCATAACTCAAGACATTCGTGAATACTGAGACGCCATAGAAGGGGTGTCGAAGATGGCTGACTATTCCGAACTGAACAAATGCCCTATATAGACCAAAGTTAACCATTGCTCCCAAAGGACCGCCAGAGTCGCCCTTGCCCACGTAGTGACCACCATCGCCGGCACAAATATGGGTCCGGTCAACGTTATATCCAAATCTGGAGCGACAAGTCAAGCGGTCAACCTGAGGAAGCTTAGCAAGCTGCAGTTTGTCGCTTTTTTCAGTGATATATTTTGCGCCCCAACCGGTTACCATGAGGTTTTGAATGGAGTCAACGTATCCCTGCCATCGCCAGTCCAATATCACGCAAACCGGCTGGATGTTTTCTGTGTAAGATATCATAATTGTTTATTAAGTTGACCGAATTCAGGTATCTAATTTTATTACTTGAGTATTTAACAAACTGGTTAAGTTTCACCAGTGCCACATCATAATAGTGTGCTGTTTTAAAGTAGGGGTACAGAAACTTTTTCACCACCCAAAATTCTGAATGAAGTGGAGCACATTCAAATTCATCGCAATCAAAAAATTGACTCGCATCATTCTCGCCCAATCGAACATATCTTCAATGATAAATCATTAATACAATCTTTCGAACTGAAATATTACTCACATTGTAAAATCATTCTGCTTAAAGCAATGCGCAGCCGTCAAGACAAACCCTACAAAAGAGTTCAGAACTTAATAAATATATAATAATAAATAGGTAAAACAAATATGCAACAACTTGAAAAATTTGTATTACTTAAAAAAATAACCACAAGTTAATATTTCACTTAAACTTGAAATTAAAAACTAAATCAATTAAACACTTTGTATACTTAAGCTGGTACTAACAATGGTTTACAAGCGAGCCGCCACAGAAAAACTTTCCGTTCGCATGAAAATATGCCATCCAAGGAACCGCATTCAAATCAGCATTAATGCCTCCACTTATTCGGTTTGTATACTTCGATTGTCCGCAGTTATTGTCCAGAAGATAAGATAATCCCGTAAAATCACGGCTTCCAAGAATCAAAAAAACTAGTAGAACAACACTCGAAGTCTGCTTCATCTTGAAGCTTTCAAATGCAACTGAAAATGTGTTTATTTCTGTAAATAATATTCTGTAATAAGAATAATGTACTTATCAGGAAAATACTTGTGTATGAGCACAGATTGTGAGTCAAAGGTTTTATAGAATCAGAGTGAGTTTTTACTTTTGAAGAACATCGTTTTTTACGGATTAAAGTTTTTACTTTTTATATTATTTTCTTTTCCTTTTTGAAATCTTTATTTTCAGCTTTCTTGAAATGCCAACTCTGATTTATTCATAATCTACAATGGCTTTGTCTTTAATAAAATGTGTGCAATTGCAAATGTTTCGTGGTTTGTTGAATGAAGTGCAGATTTCTTCGGTTCGAGGTGGTGGGTGTATAGGCATGGAATTCTCAGAAGGCTCGTAAATTGCCAAATGCATAAATCACGCAATTGAATTCTAATTTTTCGGCTTCTGCAGACAACAGAACAATGTAGCTCGGCTTGTCTGGGACTGGGACTGGGAAAGGAAATGCATTGCGAGTCTGAATCAATCATTATTTTTAATGCACAAATGGGAGCAATTACAGTCAGTTTGGCCAGACAAAAGAATGTCTCACTTGATTTATTGAGGTTTGGCAAATGTTTGTTGACCATGCATCTTGTTTATCATGTGCGAAGTCGCTGCTTTGAATATTGGCCCTTTAATTTATTCCCACTACTGGTGAAAGCGAAAGTTTACAGTGTAAAAATTTTACAATTATTTTTATTGGTGTTTAAATATTATGTTTATTAGAAATGATTTAATATTTTCTTAGAATATATAGGTATGAATCTTCTATTAAAGATTTTGATTTAAAAATTTGTATAATCAAGTTAACTGAAATGCATACCTTTTTATTTTTTTTTAACTCTTTGTTTAAAAAAAATTTAACATAAATATTTTATTATTTGTGAATTTTATAAAGGGATTAGTTTGCAATAAAATTATAAAAAAGAAAAATATAGCTGACATTCACTTAAGTTTCTTTGATTTAAAGCTACATTTTTCGCGGCAGTGTAATAGTTTGTACGGTCTAAATAGCTGATGAGGCTGGTAATGACAGTATTCAATTAACACCTGGCACACCCCCCAACGTAAAAGACAAAGACAAATATTGTACCCAAAGCACTATATAAGCATAATTTGCTTTCAAAAGTCTTATAGTCTCATAATGGCTTTCTCCACCTCCGTGTCGCTTTTTCTACTGATTTCAGCGATCAGCTGTTGGACCTTAGTTTATGGAGACTTGCGAGCAGATCTGAAGGATTTTGTGGCTCTAGTTCCACGCCGACGAATTGGTTTTATAGCGGCCAGATACTATATCTTCGATCACAAATTCCGACAGGCAGTCGACTTTATTCGCAGCGATGAGTTCCTAACTACCTGGCAGCAAGTTCGGGCCGCTCCAGATTTTGTGAATATCATTAACTATCTAAGCGACTACGGCTCGGGCTATGATATCACTACTCTTGTGGACAGTTTGCCAACTCGATTGCGTGCCTATCAGCTGTCGCGCACTGTACCCGTGGAACTGATGTTAAGGCGTGACTTAACAACATTTCTGTGGGATGTTCTTCATAGTCTACCCCGAACCAGAATCTATTCGTTAATTTCACAAAAAAATCGACAGAGTAGCGAGTTTGCCAAGCTCTACAAGGCTCTCAGGGATAAGGAGTTCAAGGAGCTGGTGCAGCGTGCCCGGGTAATTTATTCTGAATTTATTTCTTATAATTTAAAAAACTCTTATTTATTTTAGCGTTCGGAACCACTGCAAGCTCCTCTAAAAAAGTTGAACCAAAAAAGCATTAATGTCGATGAACTGCTCCAAATAATGTTTGAGGTTATCAGTTGGGGTCCCCAGATTTCTTAACTGATATTAAGGTGCAAAAGGTTATCCCTATCTTATTTATTTATTTATTTCATAACAAAATGAAAACTCAGCACTAGCTTAATTGTAAGAACAGCATTTTATTTATGTATTTATGAAAAATAAAATAATGTTTGTGGCTAAAGTAAACAAATGCATTGATGAGACAGACACATTTTGTTTGCTTAACCAATTTTGGTTTAGTTTTTTAATAGTTCAATTTCAAGTATTTCTAGTATTCTGCCAATAAATTTTCAAAATGCTTTTATATAAATTTTTTAATTTATATTAATTATATTTACGCCGGAAGTCCGTAAACAAGAAGGAAAAACGGAAAAATATTTTCTTAAATTTCATTTATTATTCAGCGCATTTTCACCTTCCCCAGTATTTGTTTCAATAAACAAACACTTTGGCCCATGTCTATTGTATCATTCAATAAAGCATTTTATAAAATTTTATATTTTTACTTAAACTATTAGGCAAAAGTAAAAAGTTAAATGATGATTTTATTAATTTCTATATAGTCGCATTACTTCGAGGATCCAGGGTGTGTGATGAAAAACATCAGTGTAAATACCATAACCAAGGCAACTTGTCACTGTGCTGGCTACTCCGAATTGGGCAAAGATTTTGGTGAAGTTGTACATCACATGGGCTCCCAAGGGACTTCCCGAGTCCCCCGAGCAAGCGAACTTTGAGGGATTGCTGGCACAGATTTTTTCTACTTGGTTGTAGCATAAGGGGTAGTTATACCTGGTGACGCTCATATGTTGAAGCCTCGTAGGCATTACAGGGTAAAATGGGGACGTCTGACCCCAGCCAGTCAAAACAAATTCCTGAATTCTGTTTATCGTTGCTCTTAGGTTGGGGTTCAATAGTATACAGATTGGCCTGATATTAGCTGAAATAATAAATGTTGCTTTATAAATTATTTTAAATGTCATACTATGTTACCTTTATATTGCACAATTCGGTCCAACTTAAGCATTGCAATATCATTGTTGTATCTTTGAGTTTCGTAATTTGCATGGCGAAAGATTAGAATGGCTCGGAATTCTTCTGTAGGGCCATCCCATGTCGTCGATGCATCATATTCACCCAGTCTTACAATTCTGCAAGAAAAATATACTTAACTTAATTAAGATAAAAGGTGAGGATGTATAACATACAAATTGTCGTTTAATTGTGTACAATGAGCAGCGGTGAGAACAAAGCCTGAAATAGTATTTGGTAAGCCAACAAAATCAACTAGATTATTTAAAAATTGTGTAAAATTAAAGCAGCTACGAACGGTGAGTAATTAGTGAGCCACCGCATGCGAAAGCATTGTTTCGAATTAAGTACGCCATCCATGGAGATCGGGCAGCATCTTGACCTCCGACCACTCTCGTTCCATATGCTGGTGGTATGCATCCCCGGTCCAGCAATTGTGTGGATCCCAGTTGCACAGACGCCATCCCACTTGGAACTGAAGAATCAAACTGTTTGCGGCTTTTATTAATAATCAGAGAGTAAATGAAATCTGGTTGCAAAACGTAGTTGTAACATATTGCTCGACATGCATTACAATTTCTTGAAAAATGAGTTCTGTTTTGTTTTCATGATAAGGGAATTCCAATTAAGATTAAGTTGCAAATACCTATACTCAAGTCCGCTGAAGAGAAATCACAAAATATTTTTGTAAAATATTTAAATCCACAAACAAAATTTAAAAAAAAAACTTAACTTAAGAAAACAAAAAAGGTATATTTTTTTGTATTTGGCGGATGTTACTAAAAATCATTAAAATATTTAATAATTTGAACATGACACAAAGTTTAAGTTTATTTATACTATTGCATTTTTTTATCGTTCTCCATTGCCACAATCCTTACTAAATTGATTAGAAGGCCAGATTGATTTTTTTAACATTCTAAATTTTTACTGTTGTTTAGTACAGGTTGAAGGATTTCTCATTGTGTAATCAAACAATTGCATGTGCATCCTAAAGGTATGACATTTGGGGCTTGGTTGCCATCTTTTCGCCTGATGTGCTGGCAGTACAATGTGGAAAATCAGCAAAAAGGAAAGTCCACATCGGCATAAGCTGGCACACACGCACAATATGCCATCATTAGTGCAACACGAAACCAGGTCGTTTTGCGATGACAAAAACTGGGGGACGGGCAATGGATCTTGCTGACGCAATTTCGCAGAATGCTTCATTGATTCGGCTTTGGGGTTCCAGTTCATATAGAGCTATATCGGGTGCCTAAAAGTCATTCCGACAAGTCGGTGCTAAATGTCAGTCGCATGAAGGACTTTATTCTGTCGAGCTCGGTGCATAATTTGTCGACATCGACATAGTTTTTATGGCTGGCAGTTGCAAGTTTATTTGCCACAAAATGCGGCCATATAAGCGTTGCCAAGTTTATTTCGAATGTTGCTGCTGTTGCTGCTGTTGTTGCTGCTGCTGCTGCGATGTTGCAGTCATTGCTGCTGAATATGCAACAAAAGTTGTTGCACTCGCAACGCCCACAACACACATGGCTAGTTGGAAAGCCAAGCCAAGCCAAGCGAAACCAAGCCAAGCCGATCCAGCCCGGCCCACATCATTTTGCTGCAGTTTTTGGCTGACAGAGATGCAGAGGCGGCGAATGGGAACGAATCGGATGCCTCTGCTGGCAGTGTGGCCCCCTGCGGCTCCTTTTCATGCTACTGCTGCTGCTGCTGCTGCTGCTGCTGTTGCCGCTGCCTTTGCTGTTTCCCCATTTTGCTTGACATTAATTTTATGCCATGTTGCTGGCGTGCCAGCGGGCCAAAACGCGCTTAAATTGTCGCATTTGTCTTGCCGTTTTAAGTTGGCTCTGTTGCTGTTGCTGGTGCTGCTGCTCCTGCTGCATTGCATAAACTTTTGTGTAATCCTTTCAATTTGTTGCATACTTTTAGGCGGAAATTAAAATAACAAGCACTACGTGGTGGCTGCTGCACTCGCAGAAAAGAACGTATTTTGCGCATAAGAATTTTTTGTAGATTCAGTAAATAATAACGAATGGAGAAAACTTGATTAGTTTTCTGAAACTCCTAACTAACTAATACTTTGTTTATATTGACCATTTACAATATAACTTGATACCAAATATAAGGGGTTTGGAGAACCAATTGGATTTCCTTTCAGATACTTTTAAAAGTAATTTCAAAATACTAGTAATTTCTGTTGCACTTATGCCCTAAAATTACCAATTGCTCAGGAGCACCAAAGCTAGGTTCTCTGCTCGTACTGACCCATAAATTTGGTGAGTGTACTTACTGTCTTAGTTACTGCGCTAACATTTGTTGGGAAAGTTGTTCTACACGTGTTTTACCGTACACTCTAGTTCATCAATTAGTAACCCAGACAACGTTGCTCCATTTCTGCTTTTGGTTCTTGGCTTTTTGAGAGCCTCTGATTTGCAACCCTTCGTCGTTTTCCTTGGAGTGCATTCATACATCTGGAATTTATGCTACGAATTTGGGTAATGAATTTTGCAAAATAGTTAAATTGAATTTTATGCCATGAAGGCACTTGTTATGAAAACACCCATGTTTCTGTTGTTGCTGCTACTACTGCTGCTGCCGCTGTTGTTGTCATTCGGCATCAAGTAAAAGTAAATAATTGCTGCTTAAAATGCTCGTCAGGAGTTTGACCATGCACTCGTACTGGTACCTCATTCGTATTTTATTTTCATGCTTGGCCAGCAGCCCCTTGGCCTTTTTTTTCGGGTGGCCTGAATTTTGAGTGGCTGTGGCAGCAGCAGCAGCAGCAGCAGGAGCTTCGTTCAGTTGGGTCGATTTGTTTTTTTGCTCCTTGGGCGGCAGACTCGTTACCGCCTTAACTGCAATATCAGTTACAGGAGTGACTGCTGCCGCTCTCTATTTCAAAGCATCCTTTTTGGTCACCCCCGTTGCCCCGATGCCACGATTCCATCCTGTTCACTGGCTGCCGGTTATATTTCGACCAGATTGTCTGTATTTGCGGTTTGTGCGTACGTGACATGGATGTTCGTTCGACTGGCTTGCCTGCTTGCTTAACAATTAGTTTTAAAATGCTCCAGGACACAACCATTTCTTGTACTCGAACTCGTCCTCTCGTACTCATTAGAGTTGGGGTGTTTTTCTTGCCAAACCCACTGCGTAATCCTTCGGCCAAATACAGCTTCCACTTCCACTTCCACGGTCGAAAACCCAATGAAAAAACATGCAGCCAAATCGAAAAAAAGGCGAATAAAAATCAACAACAACAATCAATGTTGTCCCGTAATCAATTAACGATTTAACGTTCGTCTAGGGCTGGTCAACTGGACACTGTGCGCCGTCAGCATTTGGCGCCGCATCTCCCACCCCCTTTTCCTATCATTCCCACACCCCGCCAGAGGGTTTTTGTTTGTGTATGCGTTTGGGGTCGAAGGTCGGGGGTCATGTTGACAAGGGCTGCATGGACACGTCATCGTGGCTGCGTTTTTGGGAAAGCGCGATTGTCTTTGTGTGTGCAACTGCACTGAAAAAAAAACTATTCGGACTTTAAGTGCTTTTATCAGTTTAAAACTGGTCAATCCAAATTGATTTTATAAAAGACAAAATTCATTCAAAACTGATGATGGTTGTTTTACTTGAATATTTTGTTACTTACATATTGTGATTGAGTATTTCTTTTTATTTCTAATTAAATCATACATAATTTGTTAGTTTTCCAACATTTCACATAACTTCTTTAGTGCAACACTATAATTGCCAACTGCTTTTTCTTAGTGTTTGATATTTTTATTTGAAAATCATAATTTATTTGAAATGAATATAATTAATAAACGTTTTCTTGATTTAAAAATAATACTTTCATGTATTCGCTGTGCAAGCACTGACAGGGCTGTCATCTCACTGGCAGATCCTCTTAGCTCTCTCCATTTTTGGCGTCGGACGAAGTGAGCGAAACCCCAAGCGAAATTCGATAATCTGCAAATGGCAATCTCATTCTTGATTGCCTGTGAACCACTTCCATTTGAAACAATTATTCGGGGGCGATGGCAACCCTGCAACAGCCGCCTGCAAACGTATTTGTTGGGGGCTAATGTGATTGCTCCTGTCATTATTTCGTCGCTACATCCGTCTCTTCAATGGATCCGTACCCCCGTGAAACCCCAACCTCTGCCCGCTGCCATTAAATTGACCACCGACTGGTTGCCTCCCCTGCCCCTTTACCAATATAAATGTATACAGATATATATATATGTACGTATGCGTGTCTGTGTGCATTTAACTGCACGTTTTCAAACTTTGACCCCGCGCGCCATTCCGAGACTTGGGTTTACGGAGTTCGGGGTTCGGGGTTTGATTGGTTATTGACTTTTAACAGAAAAATTGATGTAATGCAATTAGTTTTACAGCTAAACCGTTTGATGATTGTACAACAAAAACAAAAACATCAGCGCTGTGCTAAACGAGCACTTTACGGCCAACAAGAGCTGTTTAATGGTACTGGTTGATGGAGGTTTAAGTTGCGATGTCTGGGATGTGTGTGGATATCGCTTATACAGGAGATATTCCGCACTTTGCTGTGCATGCCCACGATGAATCACAAATGTTCGGTACGACTATTTATTTTGGCTTTCCAACCTAATGATATCAAGGAGGTCCTATGAAGATTATAATTAACAAAGAGTTCCTCAATTCCCCCGTTTATTATTTCTGAATATAAAATGGGTAATGCAAATTTTAAATAGAAGCTGTGAATGTTATCCTTCTACCATTCACCATTATTTTATGCATAAATACTGCATTATCTTATAAATAAATAAAAACCCCAGAATATTCAATACCATTAATTAAGGCTAATTAAGGCTAATCAAAATACAATCGATCATCATTTAAGAGCCATGTTCTTACTGTGTGTGCTGTTAACCGAATCAATTTCCATTTCCACCTCGCCAGCCAACTGCCATCCAATCAAACTTTCAGAGCTGAAATCAGCTAAATGCTTTACCATTTCCTAAAACTGCAACTTCCCCATAGAGTCATTGTCGAATTTATGAAATTATTAATTATGCCGAGGGCGGCTATCAATTACACGCGTGCTCCGAAATTAAACCATAACGCGAAATTTTGCAGTTACAATAAGAACAAGATGAAAAGCTGCGAAATAACTACGGCTACAATGGCAACAAAAACTCGAATCGAAATGCCAGTACATATGCGGCCAAATGAAGTGAAACATGAGCAAAAAGGGAGGCAATAAGGGTAGTTGAAATTTATTACAGTTGTACGAAACAAAGCGTAAAATTTTTGCTGCTTAATTGAAAAATATAAATTGTTGGCACACACACTCTACTACATACATATATGCGTTGGTAAATGAGTGTATGTGTATGTGTGTGGGTATGTGTGTGTGTGCAGAAGCCGGAAGTAAAGTCAAAAGCAGAACAACAACATTAATAACGCTGCCAAC